CTAGTGGGTTGTCAGAATCACGGGTGTCTGGATAAGAAACAAAGTCCCAGCACCACCCTGCCTCCCTTCCCTAGCAGCATCCAGAGGGACCTGGCTGATCCTGCCTGCGTGTGTGAGCACTCGTGTGCATGTGCGTGTCTGTGTTCCAATGAGTGTGCATACATGTTTGTGTGGAGGTCTGAGGTCAATGCTGAGACCTTCCTCAGTCACTCTTTTTTAAGGCAGGGTCTCTCCCTAAACCAGAGCTCTGCAATTTAGCTAGAATAACTGACTACAAAACACAGTAGGGATCTACCCGTGTCTGCCTCCCCAATGCTGTGATTACAGGCAGAGGCTGTCCAAACTTTTCCTGAGGTTCTGAGGCCTGAGCTCAGATCATCATGCTTATGCAGAGAAAACTTTACTGAGCCTTCTCTCCCTAGCACCCCCAAAGTCAATTTTAACAGTTTTTACAGTCCTATTGTTGGTTTTATGGAGACTGATTTTATGGAATTTTTCTAAGGTCTCAGCCTGTCATTCCAAAGTGCTTCTCAAAACTATCTGCTTTAATTATACATTTAAAGATTCACATTTAAAATTTAACAACAAGATTAAATTTATAACTAAATCTTGTAAAGACTGATGAACAAATGGTCAAGAGAACTAAGTTATGTGTTAAATATAAAACCACTAATATAAAGCCTGAAACATGGTGAGTGATTAATTTCAATGACAGCAACTATTTTTCTTACACGATCCTGATTCCTCCTGGAGGCCCTGAGTAGTTGAGCGGTTGAGCAAGGGCCAGACCACCCACCTCTGACTTCAAGCCAGTGTGTGTGCACATGGCACCTGAAAGGTTCAGGCTTTAATGCTGATCTGCAATATCTCTTTAAGAGACAGACCCCCCCCCCTGACAATAGTCAGGGCACGCACAGGAAAACGTGCTATGTCATCACCATGTCACCCGCCACACATTACGGCCTTCGTGAGGACTCTGGGCATGCGTGGAACCTCAGTGTGAATGCGCAGTCTTCCCTTTAAAAGTTCCAACTTCCCTGTTACTCTCTCTCTCTGCTTCTGCTTCGCTCTCTCTTCTCCCACCTACTGCTCTCTCTGCCTCTCTATGGTGACCGGCCATGGCAGTCAGCCATTACCCCTGTTTGGGTAATCTCTTCTCTCTTAGTCTCCCTACTCTGCCGGGTCCATATAATAAACTAGTCAATATGTCTCATCTGCCTCTCTTTTTTCTCTTTTTCTACAAAAACATAACAGCACCCTGTTTCCATGAACTCATAATGATTCTGGTGGCTTATGTTACACCTTAAGTATATCAGTGCAATCTCCAGGTACGATCACCAGTATAATTTTAATACTCAGCTCATAGGATGTGTAATAAAATACACAAGAATATTTTCAGTTGCTTGAGAATTCTCCAGTTAGTGAGAATGTAGGGACCAGCTGCCCATTTCGGCAGCCATAACAGCCTAATACATGCTTGCCTGACCTTGCCTTGGTCACTAGGAGGTCAGATGCCTGCCTCGAGGCAGGAACCAATCAGAAGTTAGCTGATAGTGCTATGCTTTGTGGCTCTGGGTGTGCTTTACAGACAAGTACACAGCAATGACATGCAGAGCATAGTAACCACCCTCGGAGGGCCTATGGGCCATAACAACCAGTTGACCAATCAACACAGGCAGGCCCTCCAAGCCTGGAAGCACACCAATCCTGAGCCTGTGTGTATCCCTAGACACTCCTCTTACCCTGCCCCATAAGATCTCTATGCAGTGGCTTTCTCGGCATCTTTCCCAGCCATCTGCCATAGTGGATGGATGAAAGGCCCAAGCTAACATGGGGTTAGCTCGTTAAACAACTGCTATAAAGCCTCTTGCTGTTTGCATCAAGCTTTCCACCTCCACCCGGTGATTGGGGTCATCTCGGTACTGGACTGAGATCCTGGGTGCCTGAGCCTCTGAGGGTCTTTCAAGAACAAGCAAGACTCATCAGAAAGCCTGACCATAATTTTCCAGTGAATATCAAAAACAACTGACACCCCATAGAGCCCTTCCTCCAGACACCCCAAATCCTCTGTCACTGAGGCACCTCCATACTACTGGAAACAACGGAAGGCCCAGAGCTGCCCACACAAGCACTTCATTCCCTTTGGTCCTGATTAGGCTACCAATAGCAGTGATAGTGGCATTTCCTGGCTTAAACTTAGCCTTTCTGACCTCAAGGAGAGTAATGAGCTTGGCAATAAACCAAGTGACAGGGGTAGCCCCCAAAGGGAACAAGTTTTAGTGTCGAGCAGAACAATACTCATTGCCTAGTTTCACTGTTGCACCAGCTGTGTGATTTGGACAAGCTACAAGCCACTGGGTGCCCCTGCTGAGAGACACTCTGTACCCTGCTCACATCACCTGCGAACCAGAAAGCAAGTGACCCTTCTGCCCAGGATCTAGTGTATGAGAGAGGTGTGTTCAGAGAGACTAAGAGGAGCAGAATGGAAATCACGAGTGTGGAGAGCCCGGCCTGCAGCGGGTGCCACTTGAGTCACAGCAGCCAGGAACCATTAATGCTACAGTCTGGCTGCATCAGAGGTCTACACTTTCCTGCATTTTCTTCTCTCTTGCCTAAACCTAATGATCTTCTTTATGGGTGCAGACCCCTTTCCCTCATAGCAAATGATACTCTTGCTCTTGCTAGGATTTGCTGAGCCAAGAAAAGATGACTCGAGTCTTCACAGCCCTGCTTGAGTCTAACCCAGGAAAAGTTTACTTGGAAAGTCTGGCATTAGCGCTCTGTCTGGGGTGACTTAGGCCTTAAGTTTCACTTTCCTGGGCCAGGAAAGAGCAAGCCGCTAGGAGTTCACATATTTTTCTTCTTTGGTGAAGTTAAAGGGGAGTTAAACTCCCTTTAAAGGGGAGAAGTGCACGTGTCTTGAATGTGAAATGTCCCTTCAGCTCATGTTTGTGAGCACTTAGTCCCCAGTTGGTCACTGGGGAGCAATCTAGAGAGTTCTATACCCCAGCTGCTTTCTGTTACTGACTACAGAGACAATGGAACCAGTCCCTCAGGCTTCTGCTGCCATTCCCTCCCTACCTTCATGTGTCCCCTCCAACTGTAAACCAAGATAAACCCTTCCTCCTGCTTCAACCTCCTATGTGGCTGTAATTATGTCTGCACCAGGCCCAGCAGGACTCTGTATTCTAGAGGATGCTGGGCACAAAGTAGTTAACAAATGATGGTCCTGAATTTCTGTTTCCAGGAGCTAGGTGTCATATCTCTTTAAATATTAGGTGACAAGTGGTCATGTGTCTGCCCAGTAGATTTGTTGTCAGGAAATTATTCTTCCTGCCAGTGAAGAGCAACAGATATCCTCCCAGCGTTAGTCCAGGGGTGGGATGGGGTGGGGTGGGGGATAGGGGGAACCCTGCTTGAAAGAGAGGAGGGGTTTTATCCTGATGGCACAAGGCAGATACCTCTACAGCTTTTTAGAAGTAGACAATTCTAACTATTAAGTAAAGAAAGAAATGTTTGATGCTTGAACTCTGAGCAAGTGTATTCTAAAAAAAGTAGTGCTCAACACAGAGCAAATAAAAGCAGAAGAAACTGGACAAAACATGTGGGTGCAACACGCATTTTCATTGGACTGTCTCTTCCTCATCAAACCATGCCTTAGAGAAATTGTTCATGTTTTTAATGTGATACTGTTTGTTTATTGTTGGAGAATTTCATACATGTATAAAATATATTTTAATCAGACTCACCTCCCACACCCACACTCCAGAGGCTGTGTGACCTGGGAGAATGGAGCCGACGAATGAGAACTAAAATCTCATGCAATAGCCAATTTCATCCACAGCATCAGACAATTTATACCCTGAGGGTTAAAAAGAGTCACCTGAGTAAAGTGTCAATCACGGAGACCGGCTGCATGTGGCAAAAACAAGTTTTTCCGTAGAGGCCTATAAACAAGTAACAATAACCAGCTGTGATGAGAAATCTAAAGAGAACTCACTCCTGTCTGTTACACCTGGGAGGGACATGAAGGCACATCCCAAGAACAATCTCCTGGGGTTTTTTGTTGTTGTTGATGTTGGTTTTGTTTTGTTTGTTTTGGTTTGGTTTGGTTTGGTTTTTGGTTTTTCTAGACAGGGTTTCTCTGTGTAGCTTTGGAGCCTATCCTGGCACTCGCTCTGGAGACCAGGCTGGCCTCGAACTCACAGCGATCCGCCTGCCTCTGGCTCCCGAGTGCAGGGATTAAAGCACTCGGCCACCAACGCCCGGCCAATCCTGTGGTTTTTAAGAAACTGTGGTTACAAGACTTTCATCTTGTTTTCTCGGAGTCTTCTCACAAGCCCTCAGAATTTCCCTCACAGGACTCCATTGTTGACTGTGCTCTGACAACACCTTACACACACACACACACACACACACACACACACACACACACCCTCCCAACCAACCTCATGTTCTTTTCTGTTGTTGATGACTTGTTTTCTTTTCTCATTTGCCTTTTTGCTTGCTTGTTTGAGCAAGCACTGAGGCTAACTCGTACTCTCCATCTGCTCACGAGTGTGTAACGTACACTAGTATGTGGGCAACCCACCAGAGGCCACCCCCTAAAGAAAACTGACTCTCCCTCCCCTAGAACCATCAACTGTAGATAGTTCTTTAGTGTATGTGTTTAGTGTGTGGGGGCTGGGGGTTTGGGGTGGAGAGAAAGAGAGGAGAGAGAATATATGTGTGGGGGCACATGTATGATATGATATGCATGTGAAGGTCAGAGGTCACTTACTTGAGTTAATTCTTTTCTTCCACCATCTGGACTCAGGAGGCTCAGGTCATTAAGCATCCTTATGCACTGGACTATCCTGCTATCCCAACAAAATTTATTATTTTACTAGTTCCAGCAATAATATTAACCATACATTAACATATATTGTGACACTGCCTCAAACTTTCAACTGATCTTCAAATTACAGGCTGCTTTTTAAATTATGTGGTGTGTGTGTGTGTGTGTGTGTGTGTGTGTGTGTGTGTGTGTGTGTGTGTGTGCTCAGGTATTCTCAGCCATCTGAGCATGTGGAAGCCAGAAGTTAGTGTTAGTCACTCTCCACACTATTGTTTGACATAGGGCCTCTCACTGAACCTGAGCTTGCCCATTTAACTAAGTTAGCTATTCCCTGAGACCTTGGGATCCTTCTGTCTCTACTTCTCCCAGAGTGCTTGGGTGACAGATATGTGTGCCACCATGCCAAGTTTTAACACAGGTGCTAGAGGGGAAGGTCTCTGCATCACAGCCTCACAGAGGTTCTACAGCACAGGGACGCGAAGACTCACACAAGAGTTTGTGTCATGTGAGTATGTTTATATATCCAATTACCTTTGGATGGGGAATCAAACTTCGACTCTCCTTGGGGAACTCAACTATTGATCCTATGACATAATCAGAGGAAGAAATCTCAGCCTCATGTATGTCTGGTTCCTTTGACTAGGGAGAAAGAGAGTTTAGAGTGATGGCAGTGGAATATGACTAGAATCTGGTTGGCCTTTTGATATACAAACTTTAAGATCTAGAGAAACCTATTTGAGCTTTGTGGGCCTCAGTTTCCTCATATGTAAAATGAGACATGCCTGAACCATGAGGATGCTGATAATTAGGTAAGATACGATATGCAAAGGGCTGAGTACTGGCTTCATGCAGAAAACAAGATGAAGGCATGGGAGGGACAATTGTTCATAATGGCAGTTGTGCCAACTTGAATTTTTTTCTTTTTTCTTTTTTTATCATTTTTTTTACATCCTTTCTTAGTTTTTTTTTGTTTTTGTTTTTTAATATCCTGTCTTAGCTAGGGCTTTCTATTGCTGTGAAGAGACACCATGACCACAGCAACTCTGATAAAGAAAACATTTAACTGGGTGGCTGGCTTACAGTTTCAGAGGTTCTGTTCATTAGGGAGCATGGTGGCATGCAGGCTGGAGGTGCTGAGAGTGCTGCTACATCTTAGCCTGTAGGTTTCAGGAAGTTGACTGACTGTCACACTGAGGGATGCTTGAGCAAAAGAGACCTCAAAGTCTGCCCCTACAGTGGCACACTTCCTCCAACATCCACTCTGACAAAGCCACACCTCCTAATAGTGCCACTCCCTATGAGATTATGGAGTCCGATTACATTCAAACCACCACACATCCTAACCGCAGTTTCACCTCCCTCCTATCCTCTCAGTCCTTCACTGCCCTTTCACGCCCCTCCACTCCTTCTCCACTCCATTCAGAAAAGAACAGACCTCCCATGGATATCAACCAAGCATGGCATATCAATATGCAGTAAGACTGGCATCTTCCCTTGTATTAAGACTAGATGAGGCAACTCAATATGAGGAAAAGGGTCCCAAAAGCAAGCAAAAGTATCAGAGACAGCCCCTCCTCCCACTGTTAAGAGTCCCACAAGACCAAGCTACATAGTAATATATATTTAGAGGGCCTTTATCAGTCCCCTGTGGGCTCCCTGGTTGTTGGTTCAGGCTTTGTGAGCCCCTGTGAGCCCAGGTTAGTCAACTTGCATTTCTGTTTACTATCAATGCAGATACTGACAGTCTCAGCAGCCACCAAAGTCTCTCCAATGCCCCTCTAGCCAGAGATGAGCCGTGTTCTTATACCTTTATCCACCATGTCCCTACTACCATTGCGCAGCCATTAACCCTCTGTGTTGAGGGAAAGCATGGAAATCTCAACAGAGGCTGGACAACAGTGGGGAAGTCAGGGTGGCTATTAGGAACTCAACAAACAGGTCTGTGTTTATTTGACACCTCTTGTTTTGGGACAGAGAAGTGCTTTCTTGACACCGAGGCTATGAGTACAAAATGAGCACAAATCCACAGTGAGCAGAGGGCGCTACCACACCCCAGCTCAGCCTAGTACCTATGAGCTCTGAATCAAAATTCCTAAGTAAGGGCTGTCCCCCATAACTCTTCTGACACTTCCATGTCAAGGCGTCAAATGCTGGAGTCGGAGCATGAGTAGGAGGAGAAAGAGGGTGGATAGCCATCCAAGCAGACTGGCATATTGCTGGAGATACATCAGAAACAGAAAGGGCAGAGACATGACTAAGTTGAACCCTGCCAACATCCCAACACCACCACCACCACCCTGTGCGAGCCATATCTAACAGGAAACATCCCCTACTAGCCCGACTGCTCTCCAGTTACAACTTCCAGGAAACTATTTCAGGTGGTGAGAGCATTTCCAGCAGGAGCAATCGTCTCAGGGAAAGGAAGTGCTGCCCTGCCCAGGAAGTTCTGTCAGGGAAGCTGTTGTCCAGGGCAGATGGCCCTGGCATCCTGGAGGAAATGAACAGCCAGCTATCCCACACTCAATGGCTGCTGAGCAGAAGATAAGGTCAAAGAGTCACATTGCCTTATTGTGAACTTCAGATTCCAAATTAGAGGACTTCAAATCTGGCTAAAGTAACTGTTTGGAAGGAAGATATCTGTGCGATGCTATTATTATCCTCAGAGCTGCCCAGAGGCCCGGAGAGGGTCTCTCCACTGCTCTGAGAGTCAGAAGGGAGTCATGCCATGGAAAGTGACCCATTTGAGTTTCTGCTCTCTGTTTACTGTTGGGATAGCTCCTGGAATAGAGGGCTTGCCCACACATCCATCAACTGCCTGAATATAGGTAGCAGATGTGGCAGCTCTTCAGATTTAGAATACAAGTATAATTGTCACTCTGCCTTGCTTTCATGAGAAGCAAAAGGGTCTCTGATCTGCCTAAAACTAAAGAATAGCTGATTCAGCCTCACTCCAGGTTTCTAGTTGTAGTATTAAAAATGGTGTCTGGCCCATCCCAGTATTCTTTCTACCCCAAGAGGGTTCTCCAACATTTAAAGTAAGCCATTGCTCCTGGCCAGTGTGTGGTTAGATATGAAGTTGACATGAACCCTAGCGTTGATCCCCATGATATAGGATGAAGCCTATTGGGGGCTCCTGGAAAGGAGCAGGGTGAGGAGAAGAAAGAGAGAGATTGATTCTCCCTCAGCCATCTTTTTCCTGGTGGCCTCTCTAGTTCTTGAGTGTCAGTCCTTGCTCCTTCTGGTAGAGAGGAGAATGCATCTGAGACCCAGTATCCACCCAGACCTTTGTGAATGTCTCTCTTCGAATGTGGGGTGCAATAAAGGCTATCAGTAGACTGGCAAAGCTTTGTAGTTGGCCTTTTTTAGTCTCCTCCAGGATTAAAGGAAGAAAAGACCCCTTTCCCACTGTTTGGTTTAACTCGCTTAGATTATAATGTGGCTGTCACTAGTTTAAGCTGGAATGTGAGAGATTTAAAAGCAGTTGTCATCAAGATATTGTTTTTGCATCTTGAAAAAAAAACTACTACTTCAGAGGTTTGGAGTTTTTATTCCTAGGAAGCTAAATGCTCTTAATCCTAAAAGTACACCTTTCATCAATATGAAGCTCCTGGTTGTAAGACAGACATTGAAGATTACTCTTAGGGGTCTTGGGGTCTAGGGGTCTTCCTGTGCAAGCATGAGGATCTGAGTTCAAATCCCCAGCACCCATGTAAAAAGCTCAGCATGACTGCTCATACTGGTAATGGGAGTAGAGACAGGCAAAACCACCAGAGCTTGCTGGCAGGCTGCCATAGCTTCTGGATCAGTGAAAGACCCTGCTCAAAGCAATAAGGCAAGGGGTGATAGAGAAAAATGCCTTGTGGCTTCCTCTGGCCTTCATGGCACACACACACCTGCACGCTCTCATACACATGCATCACACACACAGCACACCACCCTAGGAGATCTCTTCAGTAATCAGAACCTCAGGCTCTCATCTCTGGTGGCATAGGAGAGGCAGAAGTAAAGAGATCGGTCTCTAACTAGGCAGTGGTAGTGCACACCTTTAATCCCAGCACTTGGGAGGCAGACAGACCTCTGAAATTGAGGCCAACCTGGTCTTCAGGGTGAGTTCCAGGACAGTCAGGGTTACACAGAGAAACCCTGTCTTGAAAAAAAAAAAGAAAAAAGAAAAAAAAGCTTAGCCTGCAAGTCACACTCACCAGGTCTTTTTTTTTTTTCCTGTGAAACTAGACCTTGTTTCCAATATAACCTTTGAGATGAGACATAACATCAGCTGACTGAGAAGACTGTCCCAGACAGTCACAAACAATAACAGCGAATGTCTGCCAAGACAAGTTAGCTTCTGTTTCATAAAGCCATCCTTGCTGGGATGATTGAAAGAGTTACCTTAAAAGTTGTGTGTCTCTGTCCTCTATATATATTACAGAGCTCCGCATAAATACCATTACCTCCATTCGCTGCAATCCAGGATATCATGTGAAGGCAGCAATTTTGCCATTGCACGAATCCAATCCTTCTAATTGTCAGTACTGGCTTACACTTTTCCAAGGTTCTCAAGATTTCTCAGTCCTTGGAAGTGGACTTCGAGGATTGGAGTCACTTCTGTGCTCTGATATCTTCTGACAAATGTGAACCAGTATCGTTCTTTGGAAACTAGGCCAGAGAGTCTCTAAGCTGGATCCGTAGGGGGCAACATAGTCAAATACATTGGAAGGATCTGCTTTTAGCCAGTAGAGGGCGAAAGTCATGGGGACAGAATATTTCCTCTTCGATATTCATGAAGCTGTGCCAATAAGAGAAGCAAGGCTGTGATCCCTGAGTGATAATCCAACCAAGTTTGATAGTCATTCCCTTGGGTGTCAGCATAGCGGATGTGGGTCACACTACCTTATGTGTGGCTACATCAAACTGTGGATCATTAATAAATTTACAACCTCCACACCCAGGTAAAAATACTTGCATTATATTATTTATAATTCATTGTTTTTCTCATAAAAATAAGGACAGTCAAAAATAACAATTATAAGAATGCACACTGATATAGGAACTCTAGAAAAGTGAAGCCCCTTAAATGCCCGAGAGTATTGTTCGTCATCGTTATTGTTTAATCCCTATGTGCTGTGGACTCAGTAGCCACTACTCTCATCCCAGCTTCACGTTCATCCCAGGGAGCAGCCACATGGTGGAATAGTGGGCCCAAAGTCACACTATTGTAAGAGCAGTGACACTCAGATTCATCCTCGGTATCCGAGTCGTCATTCATTCAACAAACTTAATAAGCCACTGGCTACAGACTCCACCCAGTCCTTGTTGCCAGAGAGATGGTGGCAAACGACACGGGCTTCACTTTTAAGGGCTCGTTTTCCAAAGAAGCATAGAGACTAACAGAGAGATGGTTATGTCCTGGTTTAGCATGGCCAAGACAGAGAAGAGTCCCTTGGTGTGGACTATGGTAGCTTCCCTGGTGTATTAGCTTCCCGTTGCTATAGTAAAACATCTGGCGTAAACAACCCAAAGGGGGAAAGTTGGTTTCAGTGCTGTTTTGTGGGTGCTGGGGAGAGCGCCAAGGCCTGGTGTTTGTGCATGCTACGGAGATGCTCTGCCCCCAGCATCAAGAGGAAAGGTTTGTTTTGATACATAATTCCAGAGATCTCTGAAAAATTACGAACTGGTCAGGTTGCTCTGGGCTTGCTGAAGCATAAGACATTGTGGAACAAACAACTGGTCTTGTTGCCCTGGGCTTGTTGGAGCTCAGGACATTGTGGTACAAGCATTTAGTAGAGGAAGTTTGCTCACTTCACAGCAGCCAGGAAGCAAAAAGGAGAGCAAGGAGAGAGGACTGGGTTTCCATATCACCTTCAAGGACATGCACCCAATGGTTCAACCCCTTCCAATAGGCTCCATCACCTCCCAACAGCACCCCAGGATGGAGAACAAGACAAAAAGACACGAGCCCTTAGGTAATTAATGTTCCAGATCCAGGCCACAGCAAAGAACCAATGAGCACTCGAGTGGGAGGCAGCTGGAGTAGCTGTCAGTTGTCTTAATGACACCTTTTATTTTCCTATCATGTGTCCCCAAATGTCATAGTCTACACAGAATACAATGGAGATAGGGCCCAGTTCTAGCTTACTTTCTATTGCTCTGACAAAGACCATGACCAAAAACAACCTGGTAAGGGGGGCAGGTATCTCAGGAAGGAAATAGTTTATCATATCTTACAGCTTAGAGTTCTTCATGAGGGGAAGCCACAGCAGGAGCTCAGAGCAGAAACCTGGAGGCAGGAACTGAAGCAGAACTACTATGGCTCATTCAGTTTGCTTTCTTATATAACTCAGGACCACCAGCCCAGGGCTGGCACCACCCACAATAGGTTGCTCCCCCTCCCCATCACCAATCATTAATCAAGAAAATGCCCCACAGACTTAGTTGCCCACAGGACAATCTAATGAAGGTTCCCTCTTACCTGATATCCCTAGCTTGTGCCAAGTTCACACACACACACACACACACACACACACACACACACACACACCTCTGCTGTCTTGGTTTCTACCTACACAGCCATCCTGGCAAAGTGGCCCCTGAACTAAGTTTTTAAGATCAGTTTAGTCAAGGAGGGAATGGGGTCTTGGCGGTGTGGGGTGGAAGGATTCTGGGTCCAAAGAACAGCATTGGCAATGGAGTCCTGAAGCAGAAAGGTCCCTGTGGCCAAAGCATGGCTGAAGGCATGAGTGTAGGGATTTCACTAGACCCAAGATAAATGATAAATGGGCATTTATTGGGGAACACTTACACAGATAATAATAAAGAACCATGAGAGCGCTTCTTAGGTGACCCAAGAGAAAGATTGCAAGCAAAAGAAGCCAATGCCTCAAGCTTCCCTCTTTCTGCTTCCATCTGCCTGAAGTCACACTCAAAGGGGTGTGGCCACTGTTACAGGTTCACAGGCTAGACCGCTACACATGGGTCTGAGGAGCACTGGTGACAAGAAGGTCTTTAAGAAGCACATGGGTGCCAGGTCACATGCCAAGAAGCACAGACATTATCTGGAAAGCTGAGAGGGAAATGGCAACATCAGAAGTGTGACTTCAGAAGCCGTGTCCAGCGGTGTGGAGACCGGATTCAAACTCTGAAGTCTGCGATAGAGAGATCACTGGGGGGCTTCTGATGCAGCAGCCTAACTTCCCGATGACCCAGGAGATAAGCAGCAGACTAGAAGCCTCTGGAGTCAGGAAGCATCCACAATACTTGAGGTGCAGAACAGATCAGACTTATTGACTAAGTGGTCATCAATGAATAGTAGAGGCATGCACCAGGGATGACTCAAGGATTCTGGTCACTGTCACCAGGCAGATGGTGATATCATTTGCCTTCAATGAGCTTCATGGGGGAATCTCCATCTTATTAGTGTGTTGCGCTGTTGGCACATAGATGCTGAGCATTTATGGGCTGCAGCCAGCATAGGCGTTGATGGGGAAATGATAAAGAATGAGCTGGGAGGGGTTGCTATGCATCGGGAAGCTGCATGCCCACAACTGGAATTCCAAGGTGAGATCAGCCCTGGAGGTATGGATTCATGACACATTGTCCTTCAGAGAAGGAGGATGGGAAGCCACAAGGAATCATGACCATGTCCTGAGAAACCCCTTGGGTAAGGGGCCAAAAGATGAGCAGGGTCTTTGAGAGCTTTGAAAAATTGGCAAAGACAAAACAAAACAGTAGAGTTATAGAGTATGGGGGGGTGGGCAGCCCTGTCCTCGGGGAAGCCAAACAGAATAAGGACTGAAACTTAGCTATCCAACTTGCCAAAGAGGACGCAGTGGTCACATCGCTCCCTTGCAGGAGTCCTGAAATCCATGAATGAAGTGAAGCTGAACTCTAGGAACATGGGGCTGAGAAAGACGCCCAGCTGTTGTGCTGGAAATGATCCAGATCCAGAAAGGACCCAGTGCTAAGGACTCAGGAGTCTGTAAGCTGGCTGATAGCATAGCCATTGTTACAAGTTAAATCATACAAATTTACAAATCAAATGAGTTATGCTAAAAAGAAGGGTAATAAATAAGCAGCCAAGGCACACCACTTCTTATTAAGTGTGGTTTCTTATTGCCGATGCTGCCCATTGTACACACGTATGTACACTGTACACATACATTGTCTGTGTACAGGGACTGCTATGTAACTATAGGCTACTGTGCATCTCTTCCCAACTCACGCATTAACTTGTAGATAGCTCAGTATTGGCTTTGGTGAAAGTGTTCATTCTGTGACAGTCGGCAAATGTACGCTTCAGAGCCCTTTATTTCCACACAGCTGGCTGTTAGTGCCAAGATACTACTGAAACTGAGCCATGGAGTGACACCCACCCCCTTCTTCCCCATGGGAAGTATCCAGCAAGTCCAGACTGACTCACAGTAGCACTGATCACAATCGGTCTGTTAAGCTTTAACCCATAACCAGTCCTCCACCTCAGGGGTGCTAGTTAATGGCTCTAGAGAACTGTCTAGGTAAGGCCAGCCAGCAAGGACACAGAGGGCTTTGTGTCACCGAGGAAATAGATTCCAGCTTCCTGACTTGACACCAAGTGCTGGATTCTAGGCCCAGAAGAAATCCAGAGTTGGAGTAGAAGTCTAGCTGGCAGCTGGTCGCCTGCACTGTGCTTGGATAGGGGCAGAAAGCAGCTGCAGATGGACTCGAGGTCCGTTCTCAGGTGAGGAGGGATCCCCAGTGTATCCCTGTGTCCCCTTCCCATTGCCCCTCAGCCTGGCCTCACAAGCCTATTGGAGGCTATGGGGTACCAGGATGGGGAAGGTGGTGCCTGACAGCCAAGAAGTGGGGTGTGAGGTTTACTAAAGAAGGGGGAGGAGGGAAAAGGGGGAAGGAGGGAAGGGAAGAGGAGGAGGGAGGGAAAGAGGAGGGGGGGAGGAAGAGGGGACAAGAAGAGTAGGGGAAAGAGAAACCAAAAAAATTATTTTTTTAATTCATTGAACATGAATCATTGGTGTATGAGTCACTTGCTATACTTGAAGGCCCACAAGGGAGAGAAAGACAGGAGGACTCGGGGAGAATTGAGCACATGGTCTAGAGAGAATTAAAAAAGAAGAAACCATCCAAGTGTGTGGTGATACATTATTTATGATTTATTAAAGCTTGCCTGAGGATACAGAAAGCAAAGCCAACCACACTAGTTAGCTATAGAAGCCAGGGGGTGGTGGTACACACCTTTAATTTCACCACTTGAGAGGTAGAGGTATATGGGTCTCTATTAATTCAAGGCCACACTGAGCTACAAGAAATATATCCAGAGCCAGGCAGTGGTGGCGCACGCCTTTAATCCCAGCACTCGGGGAGGCAGAGGCAGGCAGATCTCTGTAATTTCGAGACCAGCCTGGTCTACAAGAGCTAGTTCCAGGATGGCCTCCAAAGCCACAGAGAAACCCCTGTCTTGAAAAACCAAAAAAAAAAAAAAAAAAAAAAAAAAAAAAAAAAAAAAAAAAAAAAGAAAAAAGAAAAAAGAAAGAAATATATCCAGTTCTAAAAAGAAACAGCTCTCACAAAGATGATCTCAGCACTTGGGATCACATACCTTTAATCCCAGGACTCCTGCATGAGAGGTATTTAAGACAGGAACGGGGTCTCCAAGAGGCATTCATTCTCCAGCCACATTGAGGATAGGAAAGCAATCAATCTCTAGCCATGTTGAGGAGAGCATAGCAGTCTGAGTGAATCTGAGGAGCAGTGAAGTCGGCAGCAGTCTGAGGTTCGCCCCTTTGGTCTGATCATAGGTAGAGGTAAGAGCTAGTGGCTGGCTGCTTTGCTTCTCTGATCTTCAGCTTGAAGCTTGAACCCTAATATCTGTTTCTGGGTCTTTTATTTTT